CTATACATCAACAAATTGGACAACCAAGAAGAAATGAATGAATTCCCAGAAACATATAACCTTCCAAGAATGAAGCAGGAAGAAATGGAAAATCTGAGCAGACTGATTATTAGTAATGAAATTGAATCAGTAAAAAAATTTTTTTAAAAGCTCCCAAATAAACAAAAAAAGCTCCCAACCTGCGTACCAGATGGCTTCACAGGTGAATTTTCCCAAACATTTAAAGAAGAGTTAAAGCCTATCCCTCTCAAAGTATTCCAAAAGACTGAAAAGGAACAATTCTGAACTCATTCTATGAGACCAGCGTTACCCTGATACCAAAACCAGGCAAAGACACCACGAAAGGAAAAAATGAAAATTATAGGCCAGTATCACTGATAAAGAACTGAACCATACAACCCAACCATTGCATTCCTGGGCATTTATTCCAGAGAACTTACTTTTACACAACAACCTGTATACAGACATTTACAGCAGCTTCATCAGTAATAGCTAAAAACTGGAACTAGCCCAAATGTCCTTCAGTGAGTGAACAATGAAACACACTGTGACACACACATGCCATGGAACACTGCTCAGCAATACAAGGAACTACTGATTCATGTAATGACTTGAATGACTCTCCAGGGAATTATACTGAGTGAAAAAAGCCTATTTTAAAGGATCACATACTACATGATGTTATACAGCATTTTGTAAATGACAAAATTTTACAAACGGATAACCAATTAGTGGTTGCCAGGGGTTAGGGATTGTGGGCAGAGGGGTGGTGGAAGGCAGATAAAACCCTTCCAATTGGCAGACAGCATTACTGTCTATGTAGAAAATCCCAAAAGAAATCTACAAGACACCTCCTAGAACTAATAAGTGAGTTTAGCTAATTCATGCCACACAAGGTCAAAACACAAAAATCAATTTCTATGTATTAATAACGAAGACACAGAAACTAAAATAAAAAGGTATCATTTATAATTCCTCCCAAAATAAATAGACAAGTATTACCTAAGTTAGAGAGTCTTTGTTAGCTTTAAATACCTAAAGCTAACAAAATATGTTCTGTATATTAAAAATTGTAACATCCTGATGAAGGAATTAAAGAAAAGCTAAACAAATACATATACTGTACTCACAGATTAAAGATGTTAATTCTTCTCAAATTTATCTTCAGATTTAATGCAATTCCAAAAAAATCCCAGATACAGATAAGCTGATTGTAAAATTTAAATGGAAAGGAAAAGGAACTACATTAAAAGGATTCTGGAAAAGAATAAAGCAGGAGGAATCATACTACCTGACTCTAAGAGGTATGATAAATCTACAGTAATCAGGACGGCGCCGCTGATAAAGGGACAGAAAGACTGATGGAGCAGAATGAAGTCTAGGAACAGACTCACACAAATACGGAAGTTTCATTTAAGTCTGCAAAGGGAATTCAGCGGAGAAAGCAGAGACTTCTCAGCAAAAGCTCTTAAACAGCTGGCCATCCATATGCAACAAAATGAACCCTGACCCAAACCTCACACTTTATACTAAACTTCAATCAACATGCCTTGACACTGAAAACACTGTACATAAAAGGAAAATCTGATAAACTGAACTTCCTCAAAATTAGAAACTTTAGCTGTATGAAAGATATCATTAAGAGAATGTAAGACAAGCTACACATGGGAGAAAATATTTGAAAATCACATATCTGACAAAGGACTATTATCCAGAACATATAAAGAATTCTCAATTCCCAACAGTAAGAAAACAAACAACTCAATCAAAAAAACAAAAAGGGTAATAGACATTTTACCAAGAAGTAGATGTGGCCGGCAAGTAAGCGCATGATAAGATGGTCAACACCATAGTCATAGGGAAATGCAGATTAAAACCACATGGTGATACTACACGCCTCTGAGAACGGCTGAAAACAAAAATCACTGACAACAGCAGGTGCTGGTAAGTTATGGAGCAACTAGAATTCATACATTGCTGGTGAGAATGCAAAACGGTACAGCTAGTTTGGTAGACAGTTTGACATGTATTTACCACATGAACAGGCAATCCTACTCCTGATTATGTTTATACAAAAACCTAGACACGAATATGTACAAAGGCTCTATTCATAATTACCAAACCTGAAACAACCAAAACATCCTTAAATGGATGAAATGGATATACAAACTGTGGTGTATCCATAGAATAAAATACTACTCATCATGAAAAGAAATAAACTACTGATACATACAACAATGCGGATGAGGGATGATGTGGAATCGAAGCCCCATATCGAGAAGTTACCTATCACATGATTCCACTTACAAGGCAGTCCGGAAAAATTATGGGGACAGAAAACAGATCAGCCATTGCCAGGGATTAGGGATTTGGGGAGATGTGATTATAAAGGGGTACCGCCTGGGAGTTTTTTCAAGTGATGGAACCATTCTGCATCCTGACTGTGGTGGTGGTCACACAAATCTATACGTGTATTAAAACTGATAGGACAGTACCCCAAAAACAAAGTCAATTTTTTACTGTATATTGATTTTAAAAGAAAGAAATATTAATACTAATTATAAAAAATTAATATTAATGCTGGAAAAAATAAAAGTTATGCAGGAAAAGAAAACTTGCCATAACACACTACTTGGCTGCAAATAGCATTTACAGAGTTATAATCACATAAATACTGAATGGTGATCTAATGGGAAGTTTGGCATAACTGTGTTATTAAGACGGTGATGGGGCAGGACAGAAAGGGTACGTCTGTGTGTGGTGGGAGTGAAGGTATCAAAGAGAACTAAACCCTCATTTCACAGTGGGAGAGCCATAAATACTTTTTTAAAACTGAAAAATCAGGAAATAACAACACAAGCATGCTATTTAATGAAAGAAACAGAAGTAAATTCCAAAAGAAGCAGCTGAAAAAGATAAAAATGGTTGCTCTGCGAAATGGGCAATGGAGGGGAGGGCCTTGGGAAAACTCTAAGCTGCATGTACATCAACATTTGATTAAAATAAAACTGTATCCTCCAAGGGAGACACCACCGGGAAAAAAAGAATATATATATATATATATATATATACACCCTCCAAAAAGTTGTCAACATTTTTCCTCATGGGTCTTCCTAATATTGTTTCTCAATTCTAGTTTATAATCACGCATAATTCTTGAAGACTGCCCAGAGCTATGGAATAGTAACTAACCCATCAAATCAGACAATGGCTTTTCTTTTTTGTGATCAAGGCTATGTTGCTGTAACTGGTCTTGGTGACTGCTGAAGAATTTCAGTGTGCCCTGACCACACTGAAAGCAGTAGGGTTTAATGAGCTATTTTATTCCAGTCCCCTTCACTTACAAATTAATTTTAGTACATTAATTACATTTAAAAAATTATATTCCCTTCTCCTACCTCATTTTCTTCCTTCAGACCCTTTAACTCCGGGACAGACCACTTTGGATTGTCTTCACAGCTCTTATCTTGAGTTTTCAAAGAACAGAATTCAGAATCCTTTAATGGCTCCTTTGAGGTGATTGATTTAAGGTGACTGACCATCATTAATATCTTGCTAGTAGATATGAAAGAGAAATTATTTTATTTTCTATACTAATGCTGTTTCCAAAATCTACATGCCTATAAATTCTGGGTGGGGGGGGGATTTTTTGCTTTGGTTCATGAAAATGCTACCTCATTTTCTAACTTTATCCATGACCCTACTATGTCTTCCAATCCTGCTAAACTAGTTCAGGCCAACAAACATCTATTGAATCCATATTATGAAATGTGTATGGGGTAGCTCTGTGGATATAAAGATAAATGCAACAGTTCCAGCTCTAAAGGAACTCAAAATATGGCATGAAGACACACAATCAGGCAATCACACCACAACCTTCAGTGTAGAGTCAACACAGAGATTTAACCAAAATATCACTGGGGAAGGAGAGTATCTCAAAAGATGCAATAAAGGAAATAACACAAACTGTCAGGATGCCCAAAAGAAGAGTAGGGAACCAGGTGCACAGAGGGAGACGCATGTGTGGCACACCTGTGTGTGCAGCATGTGGAAGCCTTGATATGTTAAAATACAGGCTGGGGTGGGACAGAGGAGCTTCAAGTCTCATCTCTTTTGCAGAAAAGATGCCTTATTTCTTAGGACTGAACTATGATTATCTGAAGACACCAACAGAGTGATGATACGATATTCTGAAAACTTTTAGAGGTGAATTCATTATTTAAGAATCGGGAAATATAACTGTTCTAATCAAGTTAATAATGACTAAAAAAACTTAGGCTTCAGAAAGTTTCAGGGACTAAACAAGTTCAATTAATTTTAACTAATTTTAAACTACGAAACTAAAATGTTGATATCAATTTAAACATGCAGCACTAAACATTCATACGTATTTTTCAGAGTAGGTTAATCTCCCAGTAGTCAAATGGCCTTTCTTATCTTTTCTAATAATTAGTAAATGTCTACTAAAAAAAATCATCGCTATAATTTTAAAAGTCAGGTATATAAAACATACTTACACGAAATACTATTTTCACATTTTATTCAAAGTAAAAAGCCTTGTGTCCAAAAAGATAAATTCTTGGCTCTCAAAATGAATGCGACCTACATTCTTAGCCCAGTACTTGTAACCGTGAGGAACATGTGACTCAGAGGACATGTCTGTTTATTTATTTGTTGAAAAATCATTCCACTTATTACTTACTAATATGCTTCACTTTACTTCTATCTAAAATGGGGATATGAAGCACCAACCTGGTAAATTAGTTCTGAAGATTAAATTAACTAGTACATGCAAGTAAGTCATTAGGACAGTGCCTACCATACGGTACGAGTTCAGTGTCACTGTTAGTGTTGTTTTTTTATTATTATTATTATTGTGGGATGGAATAATACATAATAGTAATATTATTGTTATTACTGTGGGTAAGAGTTGCCAAAAGGTTTATAGAGAAAGTAAGAAATGACATGAACATGTGAAGAAGAATCTGATGAGAAGAACAGCAAGTGGGTCGGTGTAGGCGGGGCCACAACTGCCCCAAGGCAGCAGCAGAATTCATTGTGTGAGAAATCATGCAGGGAGCAGCACGACTGAAGCAAAGGTTCAAACCAGCAAATAATGAGAGACAAGGTAACTATGAAGATGACCGCGTAGTTTCCAAACTTTCCTAGGTTTGAGATGCCCCAGTTTCCACATCTATTAAATAGGGATAACTGTGGTCCCTATGTCACAGGGATGTTCTGAGTATTAAATGATATATTTCAAGTGCTTTTACAGTGTTTGGCGTATAGTAAATACTCATTAAATATTAACAATAATATAAAGAATTATAATAATATTTCCAGAAATCTCTTACCAGGGTATATAATTCACTCTCTTTTGATGGCGGACTTATCTCTCGGTCTTCATTAAAATAGTGCTGCTGGGAAGGACAGCCCAGTTCTGTCAGGACAATGTCCTCGGGCCCTGCACTGGATTTAGTGTATAAAGCTAAAGGGTTGAGGTCTCTGAAACCCTGGATTAAAAAAAAAAGGGAAAAGTTTAGTTTCTCAGAGAAAAAGTGAAAAAGTTAGCACTTCATAATTTTCAAATGTTGTGGGAAATGTACTATCTTCTAAAATTTAATAGTCAGAATTTTTTCCATATTGATAGCTTTGCCTAGCCACAAAAATGATCAGCATCAACATGAATGGTGATGCAGACGTTACCATGAGTAATTGCAAAATAAGAGAGTCTTGCTCCTGTCTAAGAAAACCTCAGAGAATTAAATTCTTGATAGGTAGAATCCTCAATTATTCAAGGAAAAAGAATTCACATTCTGAAGGACAATAAGCCAAATGTAGTGTTTTGTGGTCATCTGAAAATTAAGAAAGTGCTCTGAATTAAGGAGGCAGGAATCTCACAGATGTCTCCAAGATTAAAGAATAAATCCAATAACTTTCCATATTAAATTGTCTTATACCCTGAAGTATTGAGATTAAATAGAACACATTACAAAATACATCCAGACTGCTCCACCTTAGAAGGGACATTTTCTCGGCATACAATGGCGTGGCCCTCTGTTCTTAGGACGTGATGGAAATAGATGTCTTCATTTGAGGATGTATCACACAGAAAAATATTAAGGATTCCATCAACATATTCATCCACTACCCCCACTAATGGCTTCAAACCACACAACTTCTGGAACTGCAAAATAGCTCTGGATGTCCAGTGTTCCTGAAATATAATTGAGATACGAGATTCAGACAACAGATTCAAACATGAATTATATAAA